CCTTCTGGTCTCCCCGCTGGTTACTACCTCGTCCGCACCGAGATTCTCGCCCTCCACCAGGCCGTCAGCCTCCACGACCCCCAGTACTACGTTGGCTGCGCCCAGATCCACGTCTCCGATGGTCCCTCCGGCGCTCTCGAGATCCCCTCCCAGTACTCTGTCAGCATCCCCGGCTACATTGACGGCACCGAGGCCGGCAACAACTTCAACCTCTACGACAACCCGCAGTACCCCTACCCCATCCCCGGCCCCGAGCCTTACAGCCCCGTCGGCACCGCTTCCGCCAGCGCGAAGTCCACCTCCTTCGAGGGTGGCGTCCCCTCTGACTGCCTGATCAAGAACGCCAACTGGTGCGGTAAGGCTCCCGAAGCCTACACCACCCAGACCGGCTGCTGGGCCGCCGTCGACGCCTGCTACGCTCAGGGTAACGTGTGCTTCGACTCCGCTCCTCCTACCGGCGCTGCCAACTGCTACGTCTGGAATGACAACATGTGCAAGGGCATCTCTGCCCAGTGCACGGCCGGCAACTGGCAGGGCCCTCCCACCATCGAGATGACCGCCAAGACCGTCGCCGCCCCCGGCGCCATCCCCGCTGCTGTCAACCTCAACCTCCTTGGTGGCTCCGCCAACAACGCCGCCGCTGCCGTCGCCTCCGCCACCCCCTCCAAGACCGCTGTTGCCGCCTCTTCCTCTGCTCCCGCCGCTACTCCTTCGGCTGAGTACGCCGCCGAGGACCCTGTCGCTACCAGCGCGCCTGCCGCCACCGTTGCCCCCGTGACTTCGGCCGCCCCCGTCCCGGCTTCCACCTCCGTTGCCGCCCCCGCTGCTCCTTCCGCCTCCGCTCCCGCCTCGGGCGCCCTCGTCCCCTCCACCGACGGTACCTGCGGTGGCAGCACTGGGTTCACCTGCGAGGGCAGCACCTTCGGCTCCTGCTGCTCCGCCGCCGGCAAGTGCGGCAGCAAGATTCTGCAGTGCAGACCCTCTTGCGGTTGCCAGACCAAGTTCGGTCTCTGCCTCGAGGCCCGCAGCCTGACGAAGAGCAACTAAAGCAAGCAAGCTTAGTTTCTTCCTGAACACACCACCTCTCCATCAAACTACATCACGACATCAACAACATTAGAACGTGATCATGACGACGACATGAAAGAAACCCCTTCTTCCATCAGTGGATTCAAAAACTTCCTTCGCTTCGCTTCGCTTTTTTTCTCCGATGAGTCTCGCTCTTCTTTAACAACATGCATCACACATGCATCATTTATCTTCATTAGGGGGCGGAAAAGACTTTTGGGGTTTGGTGACAACACATACATCACGGCCGAGTTCAATGGTGTTCTTTTTTGCGAGTGGGAAAAAAACAAATTACATCGGAACAGGAAATCATGGGCATTGCTTGGGTAACTTCTGGTGTTTTTTGTCATGCCATTCTTGTATATAGTGTACAATTCGATCATAAACCAATATGCATCTTTTCAAGTAACTTGTCCTGCGTATTACCGCACGGGATTTCGGGTTTGGGGCTTTGGACGTGTGTTATACATCTACAAGTACATATAAGCGTACCCACCACCTGACCAGAGACTAAAGAAAGACAATAACTTATAGGCACTGGTGTCGCTGCATTGGTTGGGCCATCACTTTGGGCCATTGGCTGGGCTTTGGAGGAGCCATAGTTTCCATTCTATCAGAGACATGTATATCCCTGCAACTACATAGTCGTTGAAAATATACTTGCTTGCCCGTCGGTAGTACGAGAGTATTCACCAGAGAAGACAGGGCAACCGCGCTCTAGACAGCAACGACAACGTCTCTCAATAGTTTTGTGACGGTCTTGAGTTGAGATATCACGGGGAAGAAATATCGATCCTTGGGCCATCCCTTACACCCAACGCCAACCACAAAGTCTCATCCCGGTCATTGAGGCCTTCCAGACGGCGAAGTTTGTTTCACAGCCCTTTGCTAGTTTTTGGTACTCGTCTTTCTAGCTTCTCTGCCATCATCTTCGTTGTAAATTTATCTTAGTCAGCGTGCATAGTCGTCGACATATCTCCCATACGAAGCGGCCTGCACGGCGAATAATTTCTTCTCATGTCTTTCTCTCTCTCTCTCTTTCCCGTCCTTCATACTGGCAGGCTACTCTCGAAATAAAGGCGGCTCGGGGAGACCGACTGTCATGATATGAATAGCGTGCGAATAGAGTTATCCCGCCGGCTGTCTGAAGTCGTCGCGCGCCACATTGTCACTTGTGACGCCCTTGAATCATGAGACGAATGTTAGATGAACTTGGCCTCTCCGCATTCGCCAGCCATCATTAAGTAGTAAACTCTTGATGTGATGAAGGATGTGCATTGTAGCGCCGGGTGATTTAATAGGCATGGTCTACAGAAAGTAGTAAATTCCAGCAACGCCGTCCTGTCATCCATGGCCGCTAGTTCATCCTTTCGGTACTACTAAAGAGCACCTTCCCAGTCTTGCTTGAGTTGTTTGATTCAAGCGCTCTGACAACCAAGCTGGATGTGTCCCTCATTTTGTTGTCGTCCTCCCCTCCTACCCCCAATATGAAGCAAACTCGTTCAAGGAAATCAAAGTCGTAGTGTCGTAACCTTCCAAAAAAAAGCTCTAAGCCAATAGATCATATTGGCCTTTTTGCCTAGGGAGTGCAGCTGATTCCGAAAAACCCATTCTTGCAGAATCCGTTGGTGACGCGAGTGCCGCCAGGCTGTGTATGAGAAGATTAGTATTGTGCGAAAGGTCTGAGGCTTTTGCCATTGATCTGGTAAAGGTTGGGTTGTACTCACGGTATCCTCGCAGGTGACTTTACACGCTGCACCGATATTGTTCTTGTTACATTCCGGTGTCTGAGTACACTTACTCCCAACCGTCTGAAACTGGGCCGCAGCCTGACCGACAAGGACGGCGGCGGCGAAGACGAAGAGGGATTGGAAGTGCATATTTATTTTGTTCGGTTTTGGTTTAGATGATGGGATGATGAAGAGCTGGAGTAAGGCACGATAGAGTATAGAAGATGAAGAGGGAAGACTCGGAAAATAAGAGTGCGGTTGTTGGTCTTTATTAATATATTCCTTCCAATGACTCCCCACTTGTTGCTTCTTCCATCAAAGGTTATCACTGCTGCACGGCCTGATCGGCATCGAATTCCATGATGAACGTGTGACGTTCGGTATCCCACAAGGGGGATTTAGATTAAAACTCCTGCTCGCAATTTGAGAGTTTCCTCGTTGCGGTGATATACCATGAAGCTTTATTATAGTACGTTTGGCGAGCGCAAAGACATCATCGTGGTCTTGGTGGCTCGCTTGCGCATTGTGGCTGGGGTGGTGATGCGAGTCATAGGGCCGTCAACTCGGCTGTCAATTCGGCCGGGCATTGGAGTGAGATCTGGCTTAACGGGCCAAAGGCTGAGGATTTCCAAAATCTGAGCATTCTACTTGTCCATGACCTAGATGTTATTTACCTTTATGGGATATACCTTGCTTGTACTTGGGAACTTTGTTCATTGTTATGGGAGACCCTGACTCCAAAGTGGATGATGGGATGAACCACCAGCCGGCGTCTGTCGGCAAATTCACTCTTGAGGCCAGATGAACACCAAGACAATTCTAATCCAACTGCCGAGATGGGAAGAACTTGAATAGGCTCGCGTCAGCTCCATAGAGGTAGTCTATGCGGTGGAATCTTTAACTCAGAATAGTCACCATGCCCGCGCGTAAACGGCACGGCTGCACATGACTCAGCTTCCGACAAAGTTTCACGTAGACGAACGCCTGGCAACAATAGTGTCAAGGCCGGCTAGCCGTATAATAGCCCTGGCTCGCTCTGTCTGTCTCGCATGAAAAGGCGGATGGTGATACGCGCAAGTTCCATGTTCCTCGCGGGCCTCCCGACCCCCTTGAAAGCTTAGGCTCCGTGCAGAGGTAAATGCCATTGAAAGAATACTGGGCGCACAGACATCATGAGATCGACAGAGCTCGATGAAGGTATAAGAATTATTCGGTGATGTTCGTTGCAATAGCTTTGACATTTCGATATGCAGTGGCTAAACGTATGCCGAAGTACTGTGCAATGCGGGCTGAGCTGCCGATGAGCCATGATACTGCTCTACGGAGCTGTTGGTGACAAACATTAGTTGCAGAGAAGCTCCAGTCCGTCGCAGGTACTCAAAAGAAGTTTCGCCGAGCAATCGCTCCTCAAATAGAATCTTTTGAAATGATGACTGAGTATTCACCGATGAGCATGTGTCGGCAGTTCTCGTCTGTATTCAAAACCTGGCAACCAAGGATCCGCCGCACGTGAAAAAGAGCAGAATATGGCGGACGCGGGCTCCAAAATGGACAGTGCTCTGTTCAGACAGCCTTCCGCGTAGCATACATTCCCGTATCCCGACCGAGGCAAAAATTGAGGCGTCTCTACCAAGCCCATCCCGAAGACGTCCCCGGCGAGCACGGGCCTCCCGTCTCCGGCCGGCCGGTCCTGACCCACACATGGTAGAGCTTATCTCCTAATCGGATAGGAAGCTGATGGTGCGTAGCTACCTGATGCAAGGAAGGGGGTTACCTACCACCCTACTAGGTAGGCTATCATCACACCTCCAGACTTGATAAGTCGAGCACGGGAATACCTGAGAATCGAAAGCCCAAGTTCATTTCAACATTCTTCGTCATCGTCGGATACAAGAGCATGTGTAATCGCCAATTACACAGCCAATAAATTCGACATATTTCATATCACCATGGGCGGGCTGCAACTCCCCGATATCGACGACTTGCTGGCAACAGCAGACATCCAGCGGGAGCCGACGTACCAGGACTGAATCAAGGACGTTGCGCATCTCTGCACAATTCTCTGGTACGCTACGCCTGAGTAGCTGAAGGCCGTCCATTGGCCGATCTAGACAGCAACAACACCACATTCTTCACCACCCACGACGACGCCGCCAAGATCTTCGTCCGTGGCTCGACCTGTTGCTCACGGAATTCTGAGAAATGGCCATGTTACCTCCCGCAGATGCAGACGACCCAGCACCTCTCTTCTTCTGGCAAGCTGTCATCACCGAACCGAATGGCCTCTTCGACAATAACACGTTCGACTCATTTGACAAGCTCGAGGACGCCCTGGTCTGTTTGCATCCGGCTATCAATGGCTATATCGGCAGGTCTGGCGGCGGGTTATGGTAGCACCAGTCCTCCCACCGCGCCGCCTTCTTCATGAGCCAGGTCGACTACGAGTTTACGCTGCCCATCAACGAGGGACAGCATGCCGCGCTGTGGCATCCACTCGAGACGGTTCCCTCCAACTGGGTCTGCCTCATCCGCCTAGGAAAGGTCAAGGTAACACCTCGCGATACACCCTCCCAGATTAGAAGCAGAAGGATTGGCGGGAGCTAAGAGTGGCGGCCATATGGCGACGCCTAGGTAGCTGATTACATAGCCGCGTGGAACCGGTTGTGCGACCCCATCGAGACACGCAGTTGGGGCAAGGATGATGCCGCCGCAGGCCAGTCGTACTCTGAACCTTTGCTTACGCCCGCGGTGCTTGATACGGCATCAGTACCGGACGGCTTTGCACGTGCCTTTCTGAGCCGCGCGCGTCGGCCTCGAGTTCGCCACATTGCTCCGGGCCTCGCCTTACCTCCCTCAGACGCAGCCGAATTCACATCACTGCAGCGCTTCGCATAGATGCAGTAATCGGGGCCACAGATATCCCGCCCATCTGCCTCTTCTCCGCTGCGCAAAGTAGGCTCGAGGCCGACGTGACTGAGTCGCTCAGCCCATTTCTTGACCACTCAAATCTATCGCGAGTCCCTGCCGGTGTCTACAGTGAGTCCGTCACAAGGGACTCCTACGACAATACCGAATAGGGGTTCAGGCTGTTGCTACCGTTCAGCTTACAAGGTTACGTTCCATGGGGACGAGGAGGGTGTAGCTGGCGCACGCAAGAGCGACGGGTCTTTCGTCAAGGTAGGCAGCGTGGCCAAGCTCTTCCAGCATGGATACAAGCCATTTGGCGGCGACTAGAACCTCCCTCAACGCCTGGAACTCCTTCTGGATCATTGTCGTGGGTTAGTTGACGATAGTGTCTGGCATGTAGGACCGCGAGGGGTGGAGGGCTCTATTGAGACCTTCCGAGAGTCTGACATGACACGTTGGCGTAACTATCACATCTCACCGAATTGGTGATCTTTCATAAGAGTTCTGGCCTGTGTTTACTCAATGAAGAATATATGATGAGAAATGAAGGTCAGGAATAATCGCCCTTCGTAAAAGCACAATTCAACCCATGCGGACGTTCAGCCACAGTTTCGAAATGACATATTCATCCGTATCACATCAATAAGATTATCTCCTGTGATAACATCGCGCTTGATGACCCCGTCGCCGTTCTGACCGCAGAGCACGAGGTTGCCCGCGTTGGTCCTGCACGAAGCAACGAACCCCGCGCAGCAGAATGCCTGATAGCCATTACTACAGGTCGGATCAGCTAGTTGAGCACCCTAATTGTTTCGATAGGAATTGCTATTGCGCGCCACGATGGTGGCTTTGGCGTCACCAAGACAAAGTGAAAGATAGCATTGGCACGTTTTCTAACATACCTTCAATAGAGCACGTTATCGATAGACTAGACATAGTAGAAAGCTGCTTTGGAATGCACATTTCCTCCTATACTTTATCTAAGCAGGCATATCGAAGCCCAAATCTTATGCAAAACTGTGCTCTGGTGACTCTTCATATAAAATGTTTGAATTTGGTTGAACCCCTCAGAAACCGCTATGCTATGTAAGCGAAAGATTACAGCCCTTTGACCGAATCAAAATTACCTTCGATCCAAATCTGAAAGCCTCTCAACCACTCTCACTCTTTAACAGCTTCCCCTCTGATCCCCGGGGCAAGAAATACAACACTGGTAGCTCTTGCCATCAAACGTCGCCGACAGACGTCTCGGCACAAAGTTCCCCGGAGCATCACAGACGACCTGATCGCTGAAGATGCCTTGAGGGGAACCGCCGATCCGCGTGCAGAGTTCGCGGGAGTGGTCGATCCAGGCTTGCATCGAGATTTGGCCGCCGTTGGGACTGCATGATTTTCGGGTCCATCGGCAGGTCTTGGCATGGGTGATGGCCAGAGACGAGGCCACTGTGAGGAGGACGGTGAACTTCATTTTTTTTGTTGTCCTTGTTGAGGTTTTGGTCTGAAAGAAAGGTGTGTTTGGATTGTCAATGAGGAATGTTCTGAGCTGAAGGAGTGTAGTATCTTCTATTCTCACCTGAAGTTGCTTGGTTGAGGTGAAAGGAGGGCTAGGAGCTGCTGACTGTTGCTGCGGATGCGTTCCTTGTGGATGGGACGGGTCGATGACTTACATACCTTTAAACTACATCCACCTCAAGCAATGCGAATAGCTCGTAATCCCTAGGCCTCTCTCGCAATCCCAAGCTCGGTGTCTTCGCTCCTTCGTACTCTGCGTTCTTTCCCCTCACTCCCGATGTAGCAATATTTATCCGTAGGACCTATTAGCTTAAGCTTTCGTTTAGAGAAATCCGTTAACATTCATGACTCGAAACTGAGAACGAGTAAGTCGCAACTTAAAAGGGTACTTGAAATTAGGCTATGGGCCAGCTTGCGGCCCACCGCTACTCCGTGTTACCTTGATATGTACGGGTATATTGGGAAGTATGTCAAGTGGGAAAGGTGCCAAGAAGGACCTTGAAGTTTTCGGACCTGCCCCCTGTTGTCACGCATAATGAGCTGTACGAATATTCTGTACTCCGTAGTAAATTGTCATCCTCATATCATATGTACACAGATCACTCTGCGGCGGTCCCGAGTCCCGACAGTTTGGAGTATCCCGTCGGCAAGACACCCTAGAGATTGGGATCAGACAGGACGAAACTTGGGCTGAACCTTCCGGCCAAAGCGTGCCAAGTACACAACTCTTTTTTGATTCAGATGAGTGGAGAAGCGGTTATTGTCTATTTCGTATTGAGAGTCGTCTGCGAATTCTGACTAGCGAGCAGAGTTGTACGAGTTACGATGAACGCACGGAGGAAGGAAGTTCGATAGTTGTCTAAGGCCTCGCGATTTCCTTGGGTGGGCAATCTGTTGTGAAAGCGCCGAGGTTGCAGTTTACTCACTTAATAATCTCTTTTCCTGTAGTTCTAAAGTTAATGGAGGGTCTGCTCCGTATGTTTTGCGGTAATCTAGGTACACGCGAGGTTGAGTCACCCCGAATAATGTCTAAAGCCCCTTTTGGCTCTGAATGAAAAATACAAATATGGATACATGATGTTGCTTTAGCAATGGCTTGCCGCACATCGAACTTTTAGATGAGCCAGATCTCTGACTACGTTTGCACCACGACATCCTTCAACGCTCTTCAACCAAGCAGCTTCTTCAGATCCGCCATGCGGGTCTCCTGGGTCTTCTTCCCCTTGTTCTTCTCCTGGAACGCCTTGCCGACCAGCGTCCGCTTCTCCAGCTGGATATCCAGCACGCGCTCCTCAACAGTACCCTCCATGACAAGACGCCACACAGTTGTAGGTCTCTTCTGACCTAGGCGGTGCACACGATCCACCGCCTGGTCCTCAATGGCCGGCGCCCACCAGCTGTCTGCGAGAATCACCGTATCCGCCGACACGAGATTGAGGCCGACGCTGCAGACGGCCAAACTTGCGAGCATCACGCGCGTCTCCGGATCGTTGTCCAGGGCATGAATGGCGGCATCTCGTTTCGGCGCCGTCATGGAGCCGTCGATGCGGGTGAACTTGTAGCCGGCCTCGGCGAGTTGGTTCTGAATGATAGTCAAGAACGAAGTCCATTGTGAGAAGATGATGACCTTGGAGTCGCGATTTTTGGTCGTAGCCTGTAGAATCTTAAGGAGAGCCTCGGTCTTGGAGCTCTTCGCGTCGGCATCAAAGTTCTCGTCTTCCTCTTCGCCGCCCTCCGGGGCGGGCTCGAGTAGCGCGTCTTCGTCGAGCTTGTTACGACACATGGGACACTTGCCCTGTGTCTGGACAACTTTTGAGATACAGCTGCGACAGAAAACATGCTTGCAATGCGTGATGACAGGGCCGCTCAGAGTGTCGAGGCAAACCGCACAGTCTTCCTGGGTTTCGATAAAAAGACGAAGCGCCTCTTGGAGGATCTTAGTATTTTCCGAGTTGAGAACAATAACAGATTGGTCCTCGAGGGCCTCAAGGAGATCTGAGATCCTTTTGCGGCAGAGCGTCCAGTGATTGCACCTTAGGGAACATTAGCTAGAGCCAATTCATCAACGGCGGGCAATACTCACACCTGGCGCAGGCGGAGGAGGCGTTCCAGTACGCTTTGAAACTGGCCCTTCCCGCCAGTGTTGTTTTGGTATTTCTCAAGGGCAATTTGTGCTTCGGACCTATGTTGATACATGAGCTTGGTACCTCAATGGGCAACGCAGGCGACTTACAGCAATGCCTCATACTTGCTTTTCTCGTCTGGTCTGAAGGCAATGCGGTGGACATATTCTGTCTTGGGTGGAAGCTTCAAGTCAACGAACTTCATGTCTTTCTTGCGTCGTAGACAGAGATCTCGCATCAACAGCTGCAGGAGAGCCTCTGCCGTCTCGTTCCCTTGGGTAAGAGGCCGTGCGATTACGCTGGTGAAAATGGCAGGTTGCTCGACGCCTCCATTGATGCCAAGGAACTGAAGCAAGGATTGGAAGTCCTTGATATTATTGATGCTAGTGACAGTAAGTCTGGGTATGCTCAGTCTGATGAAATCCATACTCGGGACACTTACATTGGAGTTCCGGTGAGGACCCATCTGGACTTAGCGTTGAGCTTTCGACAAGCTACGGCAGCCTTGGTCTTTGCGTTTCGAATCGTGTGACCTTCGTCAAGTACAACACGAGTCCAATTCGTGGCAATGAGGGGTGGTGAAGTTATGATGGCCTTTTCCTGGCCTCCCTCCTGGGCGAGCTTGTTGTAGCTGGTGATGACAACCTGGTACTTGGCCAACTCGTTCTTGGTGGCCTTGTTATTTCCATGATAGGTAAAGATTTTGGGCAGATGCTCCTTTTTGACATGCCTACGGATCTGTTGATCCCAGTTGCTCATGACGCTCAACGGAGCAACGATGAGCGTCGGACCGGCCCCTCCAGTCAAGATCAAGCTGATGACCTGTAAAGTCTTGCCAAGACCCATGTCATCTGCTAGTATGCCACCCGAAAGGAGCTTTGGTGCGCCCTGTACCACGAAGTTCGTGGCCATATTGTGATACAAGTTACGGCCATTCGTATGCCATTTCCACAGTTGGACACTCTCCTGGGAGCCCTTAGGAGGCATCTGGGGGCTCTCTTTCGACGTCATCCACGCCAGACCCTGTATCACGATCAGCCAAAGTGCACCATAGCCCTAAAAATTCCCGACGCGTAGGAAATTAGGGGGGTTGAGCCTGTAGACCATATGCATAAAGCTCGGATGGCTCACCTGTAATTGGTATGGCAGCAGTGTCGACCCCAGAACGTCGGGCTGCTCTGCCATCGGCATTTTGGACAAGAAGTCCTCGTCCATTACCAGCGACTTGACGGCATCACCGCGGGGACGGCTTGAAATTGCCTGACTGGCTTGTGCCAGGTCCTCCAGAGACATCTCTGGCTCAGCAGGGTTCAAACCAATTGTGGACTGGCTGCCCTTGATGCCCAGCATCTTTCTCTGCGCTTCTGCCTCGGCTCTCGTCTGCTTAAGTTCCCTAGCCTTGAGCAGTTTGTCCTTCTTTAGCTTGTCCTCCAACGCCGAGCGGTCGACTGGGTTGCTCGACCCATAGAGCTGTAGACGAACGGGGCAGTCAAACATGCCCTTCTCTCCTGTGAGAATGGCTTCTATCGCGATCTCATCCCGATCCTAGCACATGCCTTAGTAACAATTAGGATGCTAAATCAAAGTACGTACGACGTATGGTGCTAGCTTCTCAACCACTTTGCGTGGAAGATGACCGATCTGGGTGCCCATGACGTTACAGACTCGGATGGCATTGCGATCATACTATGATCATGTCAGACATCTAACGGCAAGAAGAGGAGCTCAAATTGGTAGAGGATTCTTTGGGCTTGTGATAGTCGTGATTCAGTACCTGATTACTGGGTTCTCTCATACATACGACCACCTCGCCTGCTGAGGCATATCCATTGTAGTAGCGAACGCCGACAATCTTGTTGTCTAATATCTCAGGTCAGCATACGGAACAACACCCTACGAAACATCCAAACGCCGTACCGAGATACCCATAAAGTTCTCTTGATGGGCCATCCGGGGCTTGGGTTAAATCGACGAGGTCGTCATCATAGTCGGCAGACTGAGTCGACGAGCGAGGAGCAAGAGCACCTGAGCTCAAACGGGGCTGAGAGCTTGATGGGGTAGTTCCATAAACCCTGCCGCTGGCTGGACTGGGACCCAAGCGATGGCCAGCCGGCCTTTTGCTGGGTCGTTGGGCAGATCCGTCTTCATCATCACTACTAACAAGGTCGATGACAGCGATGCTGCGCTTCTTGGGTGGCATCCTCAACGTCCGAGCCGCCGGGCTCTGGCGCCGTATTCTGGCGCCGGATGGGTACTAATTCGTGAAACAAACAAGCGGATTGGGGAAAGTTGTCAGCTTACGGCAGCTGATAGGTTGGTACCGAACGATTCCAGATCTGGCGTGCCGAAACTGGGTAGGACAATTGGGACCTCTCACAAATCGGACCAGACGCGATTGACGCGTCTCTAGCGTACCGGGAGTGGTGGAATCGACACAGGGATTCTCTTGCACCAGCACGAAAGCCGTGAGGCTGGTGCTGTGGCTGGAAAGATGCAAGTCTGTGGCTGAGTCGCTCTCCATCTGGTCACCTCGTGCAAGCACGCCATCGTGGAGAAGACCCACACAAGCCAATCATCGTGAGTTGCAAAATCACGACATTTCACGTGACCTGTCTCGGGGCCCGTTTGGGTGGTCTCTGGCCGACGACGACGACTCTGCGGCTCTTACACCTTCACAACCTCACTTCATTCATATTTACTTGTCTCAGGTAATTGTCTGATGAATTTCCTATCTTCTGGTACCCAAGAAACATACGGAAACGCGGCAGGTTGAGCTCGCCGACGGTGTCTATCCACTATATACGGTGGATAGAGCATTCATACCATCATCATTCATCAGTCTACCGACAAGCGCTCTGCGGCTCTCGGCATCCTTCAGTTATATATTCAACAGGACAAATCCAAGCTCGGATCGTCATCGAAGCCAAATACGCAAACGCCCAGGGCAAAAAGAAATATCGACACCATCACCATTTACTGCTTCGGCAGTCGGCGGCTGTACGCCGAGTAGTAGCCGCACTTGGCTACATGGCTCCTCTTGCTAGTCTGCTCATTGAAGATGTTGCAACCACCCTTGGCGACGTTGGGAGGGGTGTAGACTACGAAGTGGTCAGTCATGTTACGGCAGAGACGGCGAGGTAATTCCTACGGTGAAGGGAGACAGCGAAGTCGCTGCCCTTGTTGCAGACTCGGTGGACGCCAAGTTCGTCTGCCATGTATGCCACCGCGTTCTCCTTGTGTGTTCTTTCAGAGATGATTTGCATGGGTTGTTCTTCGTTGCCTTCTGGGAAGGCGTAGCGGATCTCAGTGAGATCGCCTTTCAGAATCTTCATCAGACAATGCGCATTGCCGTGATCGTGGATAGGGCTTCCCTTCCCTGGCGACCAGACAAGCACAAGCTGTGCGGCGTTAGCCATAATAGTACCTTCATGCCACGAAGTCGTGGCTTCGAGTCGACTCACCAGGTTACTTTTGCCGTTGCCTTCGTCAACAAGGTTGCGTGTGTATCCCATGCTCTTCTCGGCGAATGCAAATTGTATCCATTCGCTTTCCGTTGTGTTATACTCTTCCATCAACTTCATCAACTCGTTGACATCGACGTCTGCCGAATCAAGTCCCGACGACGGGCCAAGTGCCTCCTTCAATCCCAACACGAGCTCGTCGAACCGATTGACATCGGTCTTGAGGTTATGCCCGAAGGCGGAGGTGATCTTGGTCAGGATATCAACGGCCATGGCTGCTATGGAATGCTATCAAGTTGGTGATGTTAGTGGTGTTGCTGGTGGTGCTTGGAGACGATGTTGCTTTGGATGGTTCTGTTGGGAATGTGTCGTGCGGGGGGCTGGACTCTTTTTTGCTGGTCGGTGATACGAATCTACCCGGTGACTGGGCCTTACTGGAATTACCTGATTGAAACGTGCGGGACTGACGGAACTACTGGATGATCCGACTTCGGCCGGTGGGTCGTCTCGCCGGTCCTGACTTTTGTCTTTGAGACAGGGTAATCTGTCCATGTTGCCAGAGCGTAGCGGTCAATTAGTCGGCGACCAATTCGACGTCTGGTGGACTGGTCTCCAAAAATAGGCGCTTCTGGTTGGACAAGATAACCTACTTTGCCAAAGTCGAGGGATCCCGGCAAAGCCGCTGATAGGCGACGGTGAGCCCCGATACTTTTGGTGGTCAGATGGCCAAACACCAGACGAGATGGGTCTTGTTAGAGTTTCGCGGAGCTATATCTAGTCAAAGGATTTTCATGCAGATTTTGGATATCAAAAAGAATTCTTGACAACATGAAATTCTCGTCTTCGCAGTTGAATGGGTGGATCGCTGCCGGCGTTGGCCGATAGCCGCACCGCCTCAGAGTCAGCTGAGCGGATCCGGTGTGGGGCTAGTTACTGGAATGGGTTCGTCTGGATTACTCGCGCTAGGAAACGGCTTTAGGTAAGAGGGGCAGAGTCATAGGAAAACTCGCCGTTCTGAAATTCCTTCTTCATCTTTGCGTGCGTGAAGTCTCATCAGCTGGATTGGTTCATTTTCTGTAGCAAAACAAAATTCCGCGATAGGGTTGTTCAGCTACCGATAGGCAGATTCACGAACAGAATTTCGCTGAAGTAACTTAGGCGCTCTCCTGAGTTTCTAAGCTATGGCAACTGTTAACGCAACCTCGACAATTCAGTCGGGAGCGCCACAAAGTTCTTGTCAAGATGTCCCGACCTCATGTTCGCCTTGTAATAAGGAAAACGTAGGTTGGAGGAGGATTGTCAGGAACTTCACACCTTCGTAAGCAAAGTTTTGAGAGTCAACGATCAACTAAAATGTGTCTAACTTAGTGCAGATGGTTTGCGGTCACAATGGGAACTGGGATAGTCTCAGTTCTCCTTCACAACCTGCCTTACAATGAAACGTGGATCTCACATGGTCTTGCCGTTGCCTTTTTCGTACTCAACATCGCTCTGTTTACCGTATTCACCGTCATCACAGTGCTACGGTACGCAATGTACCCCGAGATCTGGAAGGCCATGGTTGTACACCCTGCCCAGTCTATGTTTCTTGGCTGTTTCCCTATGGGGTTTGCGAGTTAGTCGCGAAGTTCTCCCCACACTACAAGCTATACTAATCTCTGTGACTAGCCATTATCAACATGATGGTATTTGTATGCGCACCTGCTTGGGGCCAGTGGGTGGTGAATTGGGCATGGGCATTTTGGTGGCTTGATGCCGCTCTGTCAATGGCAACCTGCATCTCGGTGCCCTTTGTCATGTAAGTGATCTCACCACACAACATTCAGAATTCGAGACTGACCAACCATATTTGAAGGATCCATCAACACCGCCCGGGACTTCAAACAGTAACAGCCGCAAGTCTCCTCCCAATTGTCCCAGTCGTAGTCGCATCTTCAACCGGCGGCATCGTCGCCGAAGCCCTCTCAAACCCATCTCACGCCTTCACAACCCTGATCGCGTCCTACGTGCTCTGGGGCATCGGCATCTGCTTCTCGGGCATGGTCCTCGCGCTGTACTTCCACCGCCTGACGATCCACAGCCTCCCGCCCAAAGAGGCCATCGTCTCCGTCTTCCTGCCCATCGGCCCCCTGGGCCAGGGCGGCTTCGGCATCCAGCAGCTCGGAAAGGTGTCCCTGAAGCTCTTCCCCCAGACTGCGGCTCTGACCGTGGCGGCTCCGGGTGCGGTGCACGGCGGGGAGATTCTCTACTTTGTCGGGCTCTTCCTGGCACTCGTCATGTGGGGCTTCGCGCTCGTCTGGTTGTCGTTTGCTCTCATTAGCCTTGCTACGATGGAGAGAATCCCTTTCAACATGGGTTGGTGGGGGTTTACGTTTCCGCTGGGCGTGTTGGCGACCTGCACCGGAATGCTGGCCCAAGACTTGGACAGCCCCTTTTTCAGGGTCATGACCATGGTTTGTCTCCATCTCGTTCTTGTCGATGAATATCCGCCCGGTTTTGCTGATTTCTCCCGACAGATCTTCTCCCTCTCCGTATGCTTGCTCTGGCTGCTGGTTGCAGTGAGAACACTTCACCAGGCCATTTCTGGTGAAATTTTCTTTGCGCCGTGTCTGAATGATATCCGAGACAAGCAAGCGCAAGCTGAATCGGACCGGAGGGTTTGATAGTTTGGATCGATATAAAAGGTCAAAAGCAACAGCGACCAAGTCCGATGTTCAGCAAATGGCTGCCGCCATGGGCCATGAACCTAGGTCTATTTCTCGTAGAATAGCTAGACTCCCGTGCAGTCACTTCACCAGGATTTAATAATGACTAATCTGGTGCTACATCTCTCTTCAATCATATAGGCATGTGTACCCGGGAACGTTGAAGGGTGACATAGTGATTAATACGCAATCCGTAGATTTCAGTGTGAGTTGTAAGCCCAAATCAATTAGAGATTTTAACTTCAACTGGATCTGTAAACGGCTTCCTTCGACAGGCGGGCTCCTGTCTTAGTCACAGCGTTCTCACAAAAGAAGAGCCTCGGGATGCCCTCCACTGGCTGAGGTGCCATTCATTGCCAATGGTTAGCAACTGCGGAACCCCAAAGACGCTAATGGCGGGGTCGATGAGGTGCAGGGCCAGGCCTAAAATTCTTTGGCGGGGCACCACTAAATACCCAGGTCAGCCACTGGGAAAGTTTGACACTTGAAATAATTATTGCAATTGCGCTCGCACCCACTGGTCCAAACCCATTTCGCACACCCCGCCACTGCTCATATGCAACTCGGAAGAAATCACAACCTCACGGCGCGTTCCTCAAAAAAGTGACAAAACAATCCGCGCATAGCTCGTCTTTGAGCACCGCGCTCCGTCGCAGCACCAATGGCTTCCACTTTTGAGCCCGTAGGCTTCAAGTCCATGTTGAACAGTGAGTAGACCCTTGCCCTTGGTGCCTCCTGCTATCACTGTTTCTTGTTCAGCCACTCATTCTGCATTTTTTTTGCGCGTAGACGTCCACGATGTTTGGCAGCAAGTTCGCATACCTGTGATCTTATTCACAGCTTTTGGGCTTTTGATTCTACGATTCTACCTTCATTCTACCGAGGAGAAGAGCGAATTGAAGGCCCTGCCTAAGGCCTATAACAGAGAGAAGCCCGAGACGAAGCCCGTGGAGGAGAAGAAGGATGTGAAACCAAGCCCGCCGAGCCCTGCCGTCGAGTCGAAAGCGCCAAAGTCGAACGGACCCAAAAGGATAAAAGGCGGAATCGTCAAGAGGACTTCATCTAACGAGGCAAAGGGAGAGGCTCTGGTCCGCAAGGTCAGGCCTCTGGTCTTCTTTTCGAGCATCACCGCAAACACACCCAAGATCGCAAAGGAGTACGCAGAGGGTCTGGAAAAGGAGCTGCAAAAGGTCACTGCGGAGACCGACTGTACGTTCGCGACTCCCGAGGTGCTGGACCTTGCCGAGGTCGACTTTGACGACTACTTCATCACCCCGCCCAAGTCGGAAGAGGACCCGGCGGACCTCTTTTACCTGTTCTTACTACCAAGCTACAACATCGACACCATCAACGACACCTTTTTGGAGCACCTTCAGGAGACTCACCACGACTTCCGTATCGACACCGCACCGCTGTCCTCGCTGCTCGGATACTCTGTCTTTGGATTCGGTGATAGGGAGGGCTGGCCGACAGAAGAGGATGGGTTCTGTTTCCAGGCCAAGCAGGTCGACAAGTGGATGGCGAAGCTGACGGGCCGAAAGAGAGCTTTCCCCGTCGGAATGGGCGACACGAAGAGAGACTATACTGAGCGCCTGTCTGAGTGGTCAGAGGGTGTCGTTGACGTTCTCGGCATGCTGGCCAAAACTGGCAGCCTAGGTGAAGGGCTCCCGGGAAGCGGTGCCCCTGAGGAAAGCGATGACGAGTCTGCGGCCGAGGACGACGACGAGGTGTTGATTGAGGACTCTGAGGCGAAGCCCGAGAAGCTCAAGAGCCGTAAGAACATTGATGACGTCGAAGACCTGGGGCGCATCATGAAGAACTCCAACCCCGACGCAGCCACAAACGGCCGCGCAGCTAAATCAGCAACGGCTGGGGCAGCGGCGCCCATCGCCGTGGACTTTACGACATACGGCAAGACGGTCGCGAAGAAGACCCCGCTCAACGCCGCCAAGGAGATGGTTCCCAAGAACTCGCCCACGTACGCCTCGCTCACGAAGCAGGGCTACTCCATTGTCGGCTCGCACTCGGGCGTAAAGATCTGCCGCTGGACGAAATCCGCCCTCCGCGGCCGCGGCTCCTGCTACAAGTACTCCTTCTACGGCATCAACTCCCACCAGTGCATGGAGACCACCCCGTCGCTGTCGTGCTCAAACAAGTGCGTCTTTTGCTGGCGCCACGGCACCAACCCCGTCGGCACGACCTGGCGCTGGGTCGTCGACCCACCCGAGCTCATCTTTGACGGCGTCAAAGCGAACCACTACAACAAGATCAAGATGCTGCGCGGCGTTCCCGGCGTCCGCGCCGAGCGCTTCGCCGAGGCCATGCGCATACGGCACTGCGCCCTCTCCCTCGTCGGCGAGCCCATCTTTTACCCCTACATCAACGAGTTCCTCGGTATGCTCCACGCCGAGCGCATCTCCTCCTTCTTGGTCTGCAACGCCCAGCATCCGGACCAGCTCGCCGCCCTCAAGGCCGTGACGCAGCTGTACGTCTCCATCGACGCGTCTAACAAGGAGTCCCTTCGAAAGATCGACCGCCCCCTGCACCGAGACTTCTGGGAGCGCTTCCAGCGGTGTCTCGACATACTCAGGGAGAAGCGCTTCAAGCACCGCACCGTCTTCCGCCTGACCCTGGTCAAGGGCTTCAACGTCGACGATGAGGTCGAGGGCTACGCGCAGCTCGTGGAGAAAGGCCTCCCTTGCTTCGTCGAGATCAAGGGCGTCACCTACTGCGGCACCTCGACGGCGTCCAACGCCGGCCTGAGCATGTCCAACGTCCCCTTTTACTGGGAAGTCCAAGAGTTCGTTACGGCGCTGGAGAAGAGGCTCAACGAAAAGGGGCTCAAGTACGGCATCGCCGCGGAGCACGCCCACAGCTGCTGCGTCTTGCTCGCGAGCGATCGGTTCTACAAAGATGGCAAGTGGCACCCCCGTATCGACTACCAGCGCTTCTTTGAGCTGCTGGAGGAGCGGGGCGCCGACGGAGACTGGAAGCCTGAGGATTACATGGGCGAGGCGACGCCTGAATGGGCCACCTGGGGCAAAGGCGGTTTCGACCCCAGAGATGACAGAGTCGATAGGAAGGGCAGGAAAATCGAGGTCTAGGTTATTCGGCAGAGGAGTAATTCAAACGGAAAATCAAGTAGGCGCTAGCTGCATGTTCTCAAAAAACCAGATACACATGCATTATGGAATTGTGAGATTTCGTGAATCTTCTTCATCTTCTTGCCTATTTGTCCCTGCCAGGATCGTCAATATACACTTGGTTTCTTTCCTCTTACAAAACCTTCTATCAAAACAGCCCCAGCCGGCCAGGTATTGTACAATGAAAAGTCGTAATTCCTCCTTCCTCTTCTCGCAGAATGCCGGGGGATTACGTATGGGATGGTGGATTTGCAGCATCACGCCATGGGTGGAGTGACTGCGGATTTTTTGGAGGCGAGCGCGCGCCGGAATGTGTGTGTCCAGGTTTCGGGGGGTGTGAGAGAGAGTGGAGGGGAACTCGTTATGGTGAGAGCTACATCGTTCGAGCGAGGCTCTTTTAGTCCAGGCCGACGGTGGGCATGCCGCCGAGGTCAGCGTTGATGCCACCCTGGTACTGGCCAATGTTGAGAGAGGAGTCGTAGGCAATCATCTCGGCGAGAACGTCAAGGACGGGCTAGATATAAGGTCAGTTCCAGATCAAATACTGTAGCAATTTTCCGGGGATCCAAAGAGGTCTCTTACCTTGGGAACGGTCTTGTCGTAGATGCCGATCAGGTCACCAGGCGTAGGGTAGACCTTGAGGCCCTTGTAGAACGCAAGCGCGGCTTCAACGGCGCGCGTGGCTGTAACATCAACACTTGTTAGCAAGCTGGACCATCTCGCCTGACCTCGGGTATTTCTTCTCGCGTTGGGGTAAGACTAACGGTCGGCGGAGAGGGTCTCTCCCTCGGAAACCTGCTGGAGGAAGTATGCTTCCTTCTGCTCGACGTCGGTAGGGAAGCCCTCCTCCTTGGCCTCATCGACGGCCTCTTTGATGGCTTCCCTTTGTCGGACAGTCTCCTGCTGGGCCGACTCCTTCTCGGCCTTGTGCTGTCTGCGCTCGTTTCGGCGCAGTTCTCTCCGGAACTCGGCCTTGTTGCGTCGCTGGTAGTCGAAGAAGGCGGCGTACGCTTTAATGACCAACATTAGCAAACGCGGCTCCAATTAAACTGGTTCCTCGATCCCATTAGGGAATTGGCAAAGGGGAAACAGTGATATCGAGGTGCGTGGAGGTGCTGAGGCAGACTCACCAACCAAGCCGGTAACGGCGGCGGCGACTGATGCCGTCACTATCGTGGAAGTCTGGGACATATTTTTTCTGGAACTTGGGGAAAAGCGGACGGGAGGTTTGGCTTTCGGTCTACAGCAGTTGGAGCTGATGGCGACGATGAGAGCTGACGGGGTTTGTGCTCAGGTTCACAATGTTGCGCTTTGTGAGTTGGGAGATGGTTGAATGACCGGGGGGAGACAGCGGGCGAGGATTCGTTGACGGAGTAAATATCGAAGGAAAGAAGCTCTACCGGGAATTGATGGAGCTTCCTCTACCAATTTTTTTAGCCTCTGCGCCATGGTTCCCAGGTCGCGTTCTCTTGCCAAGCAGCCGCTGGAGTGGGTCGCTGAGAGCACAGACCAGACACACTGATCAGATAGGTACGTACTGAATCGACAGCTTACTGAGGTAGGTGCACTGCTGCAGCACACACCAAGAGGCCACTACTGTCCACTGGAGGACGATGTTAGGTGCCCGCCTTTCAGATTACGTAGAGGGATAAGTGCTGCGTGCCACAACCACTTGGGACTCCACGTCCATTTTGATGTCTAACTGGGCAGGGGTCTTGTCCTCTCAATGGCCACTACAGCACGGCAGCTTCCCACTTCGCGGACGACAGACGGTGCATGAAACAACATCAATCCGACCTGATCTGCGACTTCTCC